CCCCATAGGCTGGTGATCCCGATATTGGCCCACAGGGTAATGACTTCAGTTTTTTCGGTCTAGAAATCTTCGGTGTACCTCACGAGTTAACTGCTATTCAGCCAAACAGTCCGTTAATACCCCATCAAATAAGCTATAATTCCGGCCATTTTATATCCCTCCACAACCAGCTGCAGTGAATCGGAGGTGGTTATCGGTAGCGTTGACGTAAGACGTTGCTCCGTCTACTACCCGAGAGGGCTAATTCCCATTTACCGCCCAAACTAATCGTTATGTGCACACGGTTGATAAAAAGGAGTTATCCACTCGGTCAGTAAAAGCACTGAACGGGCGGTCTTCTGTCTGGATCGTCGACCGTACTCGAAAGGTACCTTTGTGTCTCACGCTAGAGCGAATGAGTACACCGCGTTCGCGATGACCCGTAGGGACTGCAGCACAGCCTTTTTGCTCAACGGCACAATTATTGCGTCCAATAAACCGTGCAATGCGGAAGGGCAGAGTGTGATAAGCGGTTGAGTCGTGGGCGGAGGGTAGATCAATCCATTAGATGGCCGTCTGTTGAGTGAGTCCAGAATCCCTGTTATTCATCGGCCGGAATGATACGAAAAAACGGGTGGTTATAAGCACACTGCGGACAGCCGTCATCCAACGACAACAACGACGCAAAAAGAGCACAGAAAACCATTGGAGGCGCGTGCTGTAATTCGTTCGCACGCTCTCACATCGTGTGAGTGTGGAAACAAATCTCAGGCATCTAACCGTGCCGTGAGATATTTTTAAAAAACGCGGTCCAAACGCCAGAAGACGGTTTAAATACCGTGGTTGAGGGGGAACCATAAAAGACCACGTCCGGACTTAACTATGCAGCGACGTGTTGAGTTGCCCTTGATGAAGAACCAGCCAATTGGATCGATGACTCATGGTTTGACTGTGAGGAACTGACCAACGAGTCTGGATCCGGATGTTAAAAAACGAAGAATTCTGTGACCGGAAAATCCTTCTGACTGTGGAAGCAGATGGACATTCAGTCCAAGCTTGGACAGTTTTCTGCAGCCTAAGTAAGGCAGTCTGATTGTCTGGACTGATTTTCCTTAAAAACTCACCGGCCATCGATGCAGCACCGTTCAGGATGTAAACGGTTCTCAGGGCACGAGATACTTTGCACCGCAAGTCAGATCTTATGGTGCAGCAGCTCGATTAATATCTGCGCTTTGGTTGCCATGGCAATCGGGTCAAGTTTCGATCAACAGGACAAGACGGAAGACACCAGAACGAGGGATTTATGCCGTACATAATTGTAAATTACTGTCTCAAGCAGCAGTGGTCGATTTTGAGGTCAGGCGGCGTGCTGGCGATGTTAAGTCATACGTAAGAGCGAGGTAGTGCCAGCAAGACAATGGGAACCCCCCCCCCCCCCCTATTCCGATGGCCTCGCGCCCATTCCCAGCAAGACTAGGGTTGGGGCTAGAGTAAAGCGTGGGGCCACTGGGCTAAGGTCTGGGTTAGGACGAAAATACGTGTTCTTCCCGGAATTTGCGTAAAGCCACCTGTGTTTCCGTATCCTGCCCTATAAGTTTACTGAAACTGGGCTAGAATTGCCTTCGTCTAGGAATGCGTGTTGCATCCACCGAGGTGTGGCGTGTTCAAGTAGTCATGGACGACTGACTGTCTGAATGTATCTGCGTTACACTCGATCAGTGATAATGCCAGTGTGCATCCAGGACGTAGGCACAGCGGGACGTTGAACAAGGACGCCAAACATCGTAGTAATGGCCGCCAGCCGCAGTGAATTTGACGCATAATGCATGTCCTGGACTATCTTCAGCGGACAAGCCCAAAACACCGCAATTGCGAACGCCTTTACTGGTCAAGTTCCCTTGTTTAAGAGTCAGAGGTACTGTGAAGCAAGACTAGGCCTCGTATCTTATTGACAGCATACAGAGGCGAGGTCGGGTGAGTCCGCCCAATACTACTAAATGGGCGAGCTTCCGCTATTGGTTCCCATTCTGTTTACTTTGGTGTGTGTTGAGCGAATGTGAGGTGAGTTAAAAAGGCTCGGCACTCACCCGACTTAGCAGGGTCTACCAGGGATGCATTGTTTCGGTCAAAGGCGTGTATCGTGAAGAAGTAGACACGATCCATGAAACAAGTTTTATTCGTCTGACGTTTCGGATTGCTGCTCGAACCCATCACCAGAGACGATAGCAGATACGGGTGGTATTCCTTTCTCAACACTGGAGCACCCGCCTCCGGCTCTAGGAGCCGTCCTCCTAATGTGGACTGTCGTCACACAACCACATATTCTTATCCAATCAGAAGTGGACTTATTTATCTTGACTAGTTGATGTGCTTCACATCTAAGACGGTAATAAATCTAGCTCCCCTCCCTCTAATGCTAGCGGAACCTGGAACCCTTTGGGAGGCTGTCCCGACGGAGTGCCACTCTCGTATAATCAATCTGACTACCTTTTCTTCACGTCACTGGAGCTAACGCCGGTTCTCGCTTCACACAGCGTGGCTCGTTGTTTAGTTTACCACAGTCGTTAGCCGCTGCAATAAGCAGTTGAAAGGGTTATGTCCGTAAACGTCATCACAGCGAGAAGCATGACTTTTCTTGACATACATGCTGTCAGTTTATGGCAACATAGGGGCAGTTTCCTGATCTTCGATTGAAGATATCACATTAAACCCCACCAGGTTTACACTGGCTGTGGTTTGCAACCTTTATTGTCTGCAAAACGCAGAAGCACCTAGACCAAGGACGCTGGTATTTGTTGTCTGACACCTTCCCAATGGTCTTTTAAATGCCTATCTGTTTGAATGCAAAGATTGTGCACGACTCTTAGTAATACAACACAATCCTCCTCTACCCCGCGAGCTCAAGAGCAGGCAGCTTTTCAAACCTTCCGACAAGGGACCCGGGCATCACCCATGAGCATCTAGGTAAGCTACGACATCGGATCTGATGACTTCAACCCACTCTGTTCGCCAACGGCAAAGGATCGAAGTACGGGAACAACCGTTTCGCCTTGACAGATTGTGCTGGACCAAGTTTCGAGGATAGCCATCTGCGGTTTATTTGACATCATTAGCCCCTCATATCTGTCGATGGTGTGGTATATTAACAAATCGCAGCATGATTCAGCACAACGCTATGCTAGCAACAGAAATAATGCAGACCATAATAGAGATCTGCACAAGGTGCTTGACACGCGGAAGTCTCCGGAAAATTGTCATCCTAACGAGTAATGCGTAAGTCACTTGAGGTAAAAAAAAGATACAGCGCTTTTAGTAGCCTGTGAGGGCGAAACGAAACTGGAATTAGCAAGACAAGGCCTCAGAATAGGAACGAGTCTGCAGTCCGCAATGCCGCTCCGTCGGCTCCCGTTGCGGGACAATTTGGCTGGGCTAGACAAGTCATCCTGCTATTCCGGTGAGTTGGTAGTAACCTTGTTGAAGAGCGCACCACTGAGTTCCTAAGCAGTCGCCTCTACCCAGTCTGAGCTATGAGTGGTGGTGATGAAGAACTCCAAGTCTCTGGAAGAAATGGGTCCATAGCAAAGGGGTTGTCAACTGGTCTTGATGAATGTCAGATTCTTAATTCAAAGCAGCTGAAAAAGATTATTAAGCATCCAGAACACCAAGTCGGTCCCACAGTAATACACCGTTCCGACGGTGCCTTTCCACTAGTTGTTTTCGACTACACTGTATGCAGTTCCTCTCGCAACGCGCAATGGCTACAAGAGTATCCAGGTAAAACAAATATTTGCAACGGTGTTAGTGAAGTCCGAGAAAAACGTCCTACTCAGGGACTTCGGGGAATGCGAACCGCCCTAGACTGTACAGTCCGCAAATATGGAAAATCTAGCTTGGACCAAAAAAATGTCACTCGACACTTGCAGCAATTATTTCTTTCTAGGTGTCAGGGTTTGACCGTTTCACCTGACCTAGCTCGTCTATGCCACAAACAGAATATAAGACGTACATAAAGTATCGCACAAGTGGAGAAGAAGAAGGGTCGAGTACCGGAGCACTTCTTTTATTGTCCTGAGCCTTCAGACTCGTGCAGGAGTAGTAGCGGCAAGAGTATCGCATACAACCTAAACGCGGCATACGCCAGGCCTCGGACAAACCCGCGGTCCGTCAGGAGAACTTGAGAGATGAAAATTTGAGCGCGCGGAGTCGCAGACAGAACCATCTTTTCGCAAGCTAACGACCAGCAAGAAACGATATGCCAACTAAGAGACCTCGGGGATGTAATTAAATACGGCCATCAAACCATGTCCCGAAGTCGGAGCGTCAAGACTAGTTGGGAATCTTGGTAATGATCAACAACGCATATAGGTGGACAACGCGGTATGCCAGGGGCGTAACCCGTCGGCCATTTTGCACGTGTCCACTCGACCTATGCTACAGGGCACACCAAAATGGCAACACCTTGCAGCGAAATTCGATTTAGGGAACCGAGGTAAAGAGGAGGCACTAGACCACCTCCAACGATGAACAATTCCGAATCAGCATGTTGCCAGTGTGGGAAGTTCGAAAACCAGTGGTTCCGCAATGCATGAATCGAAAAGGCCAATGATGTGTGGCGACAAACGACGAAGATTAAGTGGCAGTTGCCAAATGGCTTACGACCTCGGGCAGAGATCTTAAGACGAGAACCTTAGTCAACGCCCCGCTTCACGCCTTTTAGCTGTGCGTGGACTCCGGAGGGGAAATTCCCTCCGGCTTGATGCTGAAACTGAAGGTGAGTACAATGAGAAGTTGGCGTGTCTGGCGAGTGCATAAATCTCAGGCTAAGGAGTCGTCCATACGCGCGAGGATTGATACTAGCAATAGCACTAAACCAGAGCCCTACGAGACATTTCGACAGCCAGGAAGTTTACAAACGGGTCACAAACCATCAAGTGGACCAGAAAACAAACGGAGACGAGCGGCGTGGAAAAAAGGCCTAGTCATTTTCTATTCCGAAAAACTGCTCACAAAAAGACAATAAGCTAGACTTCGTGGAGCCAGTCGGCGAACACCGACTTGTAGGGAACAAGCTCCTCGTCCTTGAACCAGATCTTGATTTCACGCTTAGCTGTTTCAACGGCATCAGATCCGTGGACGATGTTACGGCCGATGCATTGGCCAAAGTCCGCGCGAATAGTGCCAGGAAGACTTTCTTCTGGCTTGGTCGCTCCGAGAAGCATCCGACCAAGCTTGACGGCCTTAAAATGGAAGCAAAAAACGCAACTCAGAACTCAATTAATGCTGACTCTGAAAGTTATCGTAAACGCCGAGGCAACGGGTACACAGGGCAAAGCGACCGACATCAGTGAGACATCATATGCAGATAGAAAATGCCTTAGTTGGCCACATTCGAGAGCAGGCGGTGCAGAGTCGACAGTGAGTTTGCATGTATATTTTAGGCCTGTAGAGAGCAGCAACTCTCCACTCGTAAGAGGACGTCCATTCTGTTACAACTATACCCCGGCAACAGCGATTGCTGGTCCCCACAAAGAACGAGGGAATGGCACATAAGGCTGGACGTGTTGGAGAACGCTTCACTCACACACTCGGTCAACGACTTAAACTAGCTTATTTACCAATAAGACGCGAGTCATCTGTTGCTCACTTCAGCGTGAACTAATTGGTTAGGCCTCGCAGAAATTAAGCAGAATTTCACTGTAAAACACTACGAAACTAGCATTCTGCAAGAAATTCCGTAATTAGAGCAACGTGGAAGTGCGTCTTACCTGATAGCCTTCCCATACCATAGGGACGACGGGACCCGAGGACATATACTTGATCAAGCCAGGGAGGAAAGGCTTGCCTTTATGTTCAGCATAATGTTCATTCAAAATCGCGTCAGAAGCGTGAACAAATTTCATCGCAACCAGTTTGAAGCCTCGCTGTTCAAAGCGCTTGATAATTTCACCAACCAAACCCCGCTGAACCCCATCGGGCTTAATCATGATAAAAGTCCTCTCGGTGTAACGGTCCTGCGCCATGCTTGTCTCCCCCGCTGGATGTGGTAAATCGCAGGGTGATGGAGAAGTGCCTTTATATGCCATTTCGTTCAACCAATGAAATCAACACAATCCGGTTCACTTTCACACTTTTTCGACCGTAAGGACCAATAG